ATACATATACACAAATACAAAATTGAATAAGAGACCAGTTTGAGGAGAGACAGAAAAGTACGGGTTGGGATAATAACAATTTAAGTTTTCATTTTTTACAGCACTTCAACAAACAATAAAAGCATTGAATAAATAGTTTCTTAAGCTAATTTAAATAAAACACAGTATTCTAAACAGTTACCACACTCTGTAACAGTCCAAAATATTGACATAGCATTTTACAAAGACCTTTTTCATTATCAATCTTTTAATATAACTGTTCAACCTGTTCTTCTGACAAGGCTCTTTACACCATGTTTTCAACAGTTGATAATCAATGCATATATTCAATCCACATATATATATATATGAATACACTTTTTCATTGAAATATTTTTCTCAGCACAGTTAAAAGGAAGACTTAATTATATCCATGTTTCATAAAGCAAAGGCATATAGACACTGTGGGTGGTTCTTGAACTCCTTCCCTCCCTCTTCTTGTGGTGGTCCCTAAGAATCTGGCAGCGGGAACAGCTCACATACATGGCTACAAATGCTGAGTCTGAAAACCATACATTCTCTGTGTTCCCACGGCACAAAGCTCAGTTATGGATGTCACCACAGACAAGTAACCACCACAATTACCGTGAAGCTTCCAGTTGAATGAAAAGTCATTGGAAAAGAGAAAACCATAGAGGAAAAGGGGAAAAAAAAAGTCAACAGATGGAGAAAAAGAAAGAAGCTCGTATTGATTGTGTTGAACTGAATATGCAGTTAATGTCACCAATGAATTGATTCACTAAAGAGGGAAGTTAAAAACAGCTTGGAAAAGTATCTAAATGACTTTCAAGAAAAGAGTAGAAAGATAAAAAAAACACCTGCTTCTCCAGTATCTATTATACCTTCTCCAGTATCTATTATACCATCAAAGCATATCTTTGATGATATCACTTTTTTTTGCCTTTGTTCAGAAAAATTAAGTAAATGTAAACTTGGATAGCTCAACAGTCTGAAAATCCCAAAAATATTTTTCATAATTTTCGAATAAACCTTTCCTAATGTATTGTTTTGTTACAATATTATATTAATGCCTCAACCACAAGCAAGTGTAGATTAAGACAAAACATACAAATTTAGAAGTAAAAAAAAATCAGAAGATACTAAATAAAGTCYAAACAGAACAATTCTTAATGTCTGACTACAGTCTGTTTTTCCTTCAGAAACCATTTTAGCAAGAGTTTCCTTTAGAAAGAGACTGTAYTATAATCATTTTATAGAAGACAAATTGAAGCCAAATAGGTATTATAGCCAGAAGTATTCACTTTTTAGAGGGTGGGACAGAAGAATAATAATAAGGCATAAACTTTACTTTAGAGAGTGCTTGGGGTTTGCACACTCAGAGTGCCAGAGCTCTCACTGATTTCAAGAACAAGCAAGCAACCTGTTCAGCAGAAGACCCATGCTGATCACTGCACCCTTCTGATGCTTCTCTCTATAAAATGGGTGGTTTTGTAACATTCAGCTTGGCTGCAATAGCATATGAATGAATTCTCCAGGGAAAAGGGAACTAAATTGAGTTCCCAAAGGCAGTATTCAGCTGTCTAAATCATAATACTTCCTGATGCACATTAATTCCTGATTTATCCTTTCAAGAATCAGGACTGTGATTTTTCACTACACACACCTGACACTAAAACATGCCCAGCCCGTGCAGGAGGACAATAATCTCACAGAAGACAAAGAGAGATGAGAAGTAGAGGGTGATTATAAACTGAATGATAAGTGTGTAAGGAAATTACAATTGTAAGGCAGTCTACAGCTCTGACACCTTCTAAACCTCAAGTATTCAACTTCAAATGTTTTAAAAGTAAAACCTTTATGTGTCCCAGGTTTCCTAAACATGCTTGCAAATTAATCTCTCCTATGCTCATATCTCCTCTGTGTTTTGAGCTGATGGAATATCTGTTGACAGAGGAAGCTTGTTAAATTCTCAGTRATACAGCATCAGAGAGAAAATTATTTTATTGAATAGGTTTCATGGAGACTTCAGTAGCACAGATGTGCTGCGGTTCTGCAGTCTCAGAAGTTTAGTCTACTTGATGGAAAAGGGAGAAGCTTCTCCTCATCAAGGCTGCTAACATTTCTGCAGGCAAAACTCAAAAGTGGCACTAAGCAGTCTGGTGAGTTAGTTGGTTTTCTAATAGATCAAAGCTATATTAGAGCATGAACACTTATTATGGTGCACATTACCTTTGAATAATGAATGAATGGATTTAGTCAAGCAAGAGAATAATCAAATTCACTTATTGGCTAAGTTGAATAATCGGTGAACAGAGTATGATGACCTCTAGCAGTCAAACCTAAACCAGCACTGTCCTTCCCTGTGCACGTTTCTTAGCAGTAAGAACCACTGCTATCATGGGCATCAATTTTTCAGGTCAGTCTCCTTTATGTCTGAACCCTTCCCTACCACTCCACTGTTTTGTTCTAATTCTGCTTCTTCCTTTTTTCTCTTCATGTTGCCACAACTAATTTTCTACTTTGTATTCCTGTCTGGGGTACAGCAAACCCTGAACAGGTTTTCCTCAGTCCTTAATCTGACCATCCCCACCTCCACCTGAACACCTCTTCACCTGCAGCTTGTCATTCTGCCAGCACAAGCTGCCCTTCTTTTCAACTTCTGATTCAACTTTCTTCTGCAAATCCCTTCTCTGAATCAGTTGGCCAGCAGGATATCTACACCCCATTCCTTTACAGATGCCTTGCACAAACTCAGTTCCTGTTCCACAAGCAATATGCTTCTTTTTCTCRCTCATCCTTTTATCATCTCCTACCCCACTTACTCTGTCCAGGTGTTCGCATTTATTATGTCAGGTTTTGGCTTTTGCCCCAATCTCTTTCATTTCACCACATTGTTTATAGTTGCTYTCCCCATCACATTTAATGATTCCCAGATCTGTCATTTTCTTCCAAATTACTTGTTCAGTCAGTCTGCCTTCCCCTCCACTGGCTCTATGCATCAGCCTACCCCCACACCACCTCAGGAGCCCACATTATTTTTTGCATTTAGCTCACACAGTTTTCCTTCTCTTACATACCACCAGGGGAGGAGAAAAGACAAGAGGAACAGCTGAACAATGCTAGAATACAAAGCTGCATTACAGGAGAAAATGTGCYGAGTTCTGGATAGGTCGTGCTCATGTGCAGGATCAGATTTATAAAACTCYTAAGTTTGCAAATTGCTCAGTAAAAACTGGGCCAAATTTAAGCAGATGTATATAGGGACAGGTAAGCATATTCCAACACACAAAAAACCCACCAAATTTCACATCCCTCCTACTAAGTGTCAGAATGGTACCTACTTCWTTTTTTTTTGGTCCAAGTTGAGTAAATATAGGGGTTTTTAGCTTTTAACAAAAATGAAGCAAGCAATTACTTTTCTGCTATTAAAGGTTGGTGCTTCTGTGGACATCTGAAAAGAAGGCATGCTGATGGGAAGCATTATCACTAGTATTCAGATAGAATTGTATTACATTCACACTTTTAATAAGGGCAGTAAGTAGCACATTCACCATCTGCAGCTTTGGCAAATGGATGGAAAAATTATCACCATAATCCTAGAATAATTTRTGCATAAATGCTTTTGAGTTTCTTTCATTTAATTTGTACTTGACTACCTTCCAAGTAAAAAATGCATCCATCCTTCTCATTGCTTTTTTTTAAACTCCCTCTATCTTTTCAGTAGGGTCTGTAGGATATTGATGGTTAAGTACTTAAAGATGGTTAAACTCACTTGTGCTAGCATTCATGTGTCTATTAGTAACTCCCTTTATCYTTTGGATAGTTAATGGAAAACATTACTTGAAATAATACTCCAAAATTTACAATAGCTTTATGAAAAATGGACACATGGTTAGCAAAATTCCATATTTTTCTTACCTTTTCTTATTTTTGGAAATTGTTCCCATGTGTTAACAAGTATTAAACAAGAGAAAAAATACTTCGATATTTCAGTGAATTTCTAAGATAATGATACTTGGAGAAATCCATGACAACTGCTTAATTTTGAATCACATAACTTCTGAGTACAACAAAATCTTACAGATTTTATACTGATTTCAAATTTAGTGCTTCTCTGTCAAAAGATGCTGATACTAGACCAGTAAATTCTGTGCCAAAATCTTCTCTAGAATATCACACATTTCTCAAAAGTTCCTCATTTACAGGTACTGGTAAGACAACAGCAAGAAAATGCTGACAAACCTTTCACATTAAATAATTTTGATCTTAATTTGCAGAGCACATAACTGTTACATTTATCTCCCCTAAAACATATATCTCAGTTCTAATACTTGCAAGCTTTGAGACTAAAATTACATCCAAAAATGCCTATTTTCTAAATAAGTGCACATCAACAAATGCTATTGTATGAAATAATAGGCTTATACAATACTACTTAGCAGCCATACAAAAACTCTCRTAATATATATACTTGTAAAAATCTCTTTCTTGTAACAATTTTAAAAGGTTCAACTACACAAAGGGAAAAAAGCATCCTGAAAACAACCTCAATTTCTGTCAGTTTTGGAGTTTTACATATAAAAAAGTTTTTGCAACATGGAATTAAAGGTAACTTAAAACTTCTGCTGATGCTTTAGGACTCTTTTTTTAAAGTGCAGAAAATAACGTGAATGTATTTATTACAGTCAACATAATGGAAAAGGAGTACAGGAATTTTAGAATAAAACTTCTAGAGATTAGTTTTAGAATAAAACTTGTAGAGATTTTTCCAAGACTGGCTAAGGACTCAATCTTTCCCCCTTGAAACAGTGATGCAGGGCACACTAAAGATCMAGGGAGGAATGAAAACTGAAACTCTGGTACAGACAATTAGTTCTACCTCCAAAATACCCATATTAAAAAAAAAAAAAMAAAAAAAAAACAAAAACAAACCACCAAAACCGCCAGTAAATCAACAGAAAAAGAATCAACTTATTGGGCAAAAGTAATTTCTGCAGTACCTTCAGGGGTGATAGCACTAGGACACACATCTTTTAGCAGGTCTCCCAAAGTATGCAACTGTCCTCCTGAAGCAATTGGTCGAAATAGCTTCTGTATAAAAGGTCTCTCTGTTGTTGCCTATTTTAATAAAAAAAAAAAATCAAAGCCAACAATTTAATGACCATGCAAATATGTAACATCAGCATTTGAGACAGGTAGACAGTAGGACAGAACTAAAGACTGCAGCAGAAGAAACATCTGGGATTTCCACATTTGCCCCCCCCCACCCTTGCATTTCATTCATATCATGAAATGCAGGCAAGTTTTTGTTTATAAAAAATTGCAAGAAAAAAAACCCAGATAAACTGTAAAGATAATTTACAGACAGTGTCATAAATATAAGAGTGCTATTTTTTTWAAAAGCCCCAAACCTTCTATTATGGGTATACAATCTGCTTAAAAACCCACATTTTAATATATCCTTAATTAAAAAAAAACAAGCTGTGAGCACAAACTTAGGAGTTCAACATACCCATATTCATTTTGCTAAGTCAAAGCAATACTGTACTCTTACAGCTCAACAGATGATCTTTTCCAGCAGATTTGATGTCAAAAATTTCAAATTATTTCAGCTGCAAGGAACACTACAACTTAGAAAAAGAAGTGTTTTGCTTTGACAGACAACCTAGAATCTCCTGTCTACTTAAGGAATTAGTCGTATGTAAAGAACATATACGCCCCACTTCTGATGCTTTGCAGATGCAAAGGAATTCAGAATGATTGTAACTATGCATCCTTCAGTTTAAAGCCACTCACTCCCCTTTGTCCTATCACCACAAGCCCTTGCAAAAAGTCCCTCTCCAGCTCTCTTGTAGGCCACCTTAGGTACTGGAAGGTCTCTTCAGASTATTCTCTTCTCCAGGCTGATCAAGCCAAACTCCTTATTCCCCATAGGCATTAGCAGATTCCAGGAGGATTTGCTCTGTGACCTTTGCTGGGGTCTGAGGTTAGACTACCTGTAGATCCCTGGGCATTCCTTATTTCCCTTTTTAAAAATGGGGCTACATTYCAGTAGGTACTTCACTGGACTGCCACAGCTTCTCAAATACGATGGATGSTGGCTTAGCCACTTCATCCGTATTTGTGGGGATGTCTCTCCTCCAGTCCCTTAGGTGCATAGACTTTTGCACCTTCAGGTTCCTTAGGAGTTCTCAGACCTGATGTTCTAGAGTGGGAACTTCTTCATTCTCCCAGTCCCTGCCTTCTCCACTTTGGAACTTAGGCAGTCTGGCTGTAGAACWTACTGGTCAAGACTAAGGCAAAGAAGACACCGAACACCTCCATGTTTTGGGTCTCACATTTGCTTCTGGAGAGGGCCCACCATTTTTTMAGTCTTCCTTTTATCCCTGATATTCCTACAGAAGCTTCTCTTGTTGCCCTTATTGTCCCTGACCATATTTATTTCTATCAGATCTTCAGCACTTATTTAAGAACCATGGTTATGTTAAGGTAACTCGCTGGGTATCTTCAAGAGCAGCTCCAGGGGCAGCAAGAACCTAATATTGTAAGGACAGGCAAAGGTTTTTTTCCCGATTCCCTGACATCTCCACCCAAACTCGACACCCGAGCCAGGGAAGTTAGAAATCTCATATTTAACCAACCCAAACATTTTAATCTAGCTCCAAATTGTTGCTGACAATTTTCTGCAAGCAGCTAACTCCCAAAAGCAGCTGATGAGCCCTTCATTATGGGTGACTGGGCTCCAGCAAATTATACTTGCATCACATATTAATTGGAACAAGCAATATAAGCCACTGGCCCTTTCAAATTTAGTTTCCTACCTCTTGAAAAGGGTTTCCCATCCTACCATGGTAATTAAAAATAGAAACAAAACAACTCAAGAGGTGTTTTATCTTCCAGTGGAGGCTTATGGGGAGAAAAAAAAATCACTCAAACAAACAAACCAATCTCTACCAAAACCCCTCCAAACAAAGCACACCCCCCCAAAAAAAAAAGTTAAAAATTATTTTTCAAAGCAAGTTACAGTGGGATCTTTGTCAGCTCTACATACATGAAAAGCAACAAGCAGATTAAGGATGACAATGCAGCTGTAACAGGCAGGCAGGGAGTCTTTTTCTAAGAGTGGTATAATAACTCAGAATTAAGTCCAGGGCATTACAGTGCAGAACTGTTGACAGCTATTTGTTACTTCTTGCTAATAGTCTTCAAATATGGAAAAAAGTATTTTCCCAGTTTTTCTTATAAAGACTGATCAGAAGGMGCTTACTAGCTGCTGTAATCAATTCTCTATGTCTTCAGGGTAGCAATATGTGGCTATGAGCAGTGCTAATGAAATATCTGAACATCAGAAAAATTATGGGAGACACACAGCCAGGAGGTTCCATCTACCTCAGACAGATCCACACYTGAGAAGTGAACTCTGGGATGTTATGTTGAAGAAATGTGTATGCGAAAAAATTTTAAAAAGGGGGAAAAAGACAATCCTCCCTAAAGCATTGTTATAATAAAAAAAATTATAAGTTTAGTTTTAAAAATAATCAGGTATGCACAGTAAATCCAGTCATAGCTCCCACGTGCTTACCGTCTGAAGTAGCAGAATAGGAAATAAACAGAAGTATGCAGGCAAAGGTTATKATCAACAGACTTTTAAGATAACAATTTCCCAACAGCATACTGCAAATTTCTCATTATTTATTAATAAATTATGATCATTTGTGTCCTAGTTATAATAATTTGATGCCAAGAGGGAAAAGACAAAGTTGTATTTTCTCAGGTATCCCACACAGTTGCTGACTGCTGCAAACAATACCCTTAGCTGCTATCATGAAACATTAAGGAAAATGAATTCTATTTTGCTTTGTAAGTGTTAAGCAACACAGATGTGGTAAAGTAAATAAAAATCACTGGTCTTTGTCAATGTTAAAATGATAAAAGTAACTGCATGTTGTTTATACAAAGACTGTGGTTCACAAATCTTATCCTACAGGCAGAGTATTACCCCAATTTACTTCTTCCCTCACGTGCAGCAGATGCTTTATGCATTAAAAACTGAAAAGACCCATCCTACATTCCCCAATATTTATAGGATAATTTTTCAAAGTATCTTAGTCATAYGGGAGCATAAATAGTTTTAGAAAAATCTTGCCATCACCCTTTTTCAAGTGTACTTTTCAAGTACATTACTATGTAAGACCAACGTGACTACAATTTTCTGCTCTAGTACTCTCATCTCTRCAAACATCCTGGCCAGGCTAGATGGGGTTGTGAGCATCCTGGTTTAGTGCAATATGTCCCTGAGTATGGCAGGTGGGTTGGACTAAATGACCTCTGAAAGATCCCTTCCAACTCAAACTATTCTGTGGTTGTATTTACTACAAGAACACATGGAAGAACATCCACCATTAATTAACTGCTTACATAACATTGTGTTTTGTACAATATTTGCTTAATCAATCATGCAAAAAAGTACTACCTGTAATCTAATCCATAGATATCACTGAATAACTGATAATCTACATGMGATCTAAAGCAAATATTCATACAATACCTATCATTTTACCTACTAAAATGATCACAGCTTCAACAGAATGTAGCACTTGTAAAATGAGTTTATTTTAAAGTGCAGCCTCCACGTAGCTGTGAGATATTCAAGATTCTGGATGCATTTGCAAGATACAACAGGTGACAGCCAATCAGTAACTGCCAACCTCTACAGAGCAAATGCCTTCCAGCATATGAGCATATGAAGACAATCACTCAGCCTAAAAACTGCAGTGCATTTTACACTGATCATATCCACAATTTAGTATCAACTTATCAAATTTATATGAAAACAAATCTTCATCTCTGAATTAACATATTTTCYAGAAAGTTAGACTTAACAGCAACTGCAATTCTCATTCTTCTCTATCAGTACATAGCAATAGTACACGAATCCCATACTTTGCAGAACAAACGAAGACTTTACTCTTTCTAGAAGAAAGTTTAAACCCTACCAATGACAGAAAAGTGACAGTGAAAACAAACTACACCACAGTGAGGAAAAAAAAAACAGACTAAAGTTACCTATTCAGGTTTACTGTCAATGGGAAGAGTTACAGGTGAGGGCAAGTTTTAGGAGGCCCTTTAAGGCAGTGTAAAGCCTCACAGGATGAGAGACAAGCTATATAGTTACACACTGTGTTAACAATTGTAGTTCATTCTTCCCTACCATCCTGGCAAAAAAAAATAAAAATTGTCAGCTTGCCTGGCCCTTTTCAGAATCAACAGAACATCAAACACTGTATGAAATCCACAATTTAATTAGTCAGATATTTTATACAGGATGCTTTTTAAAATTAAAAACATAACTCATGAACCATTGGGTTTTAATCTGGAAAAATCACAGTTACCAGTATTTTCATCAAGAGGAAGGGATTTAGATTTTCTGCCTAAACATTCTGTTGCTCCTCAGTATTCAAATAAAAGTTACTATACATACTGAACTTGCAAAATAAAAACAAAAACTTCTTACAATTTCCACATGTGCATAAGCTGGAAACCTAAAACCATAAAAGCTGAGTCTTCCCTACATGTTCCATTATATTTTCAGTAACTTGTCAAATTCATAGTCTGTGCTATTTCATAATGAACAACTTTACACTAAAAAAAGCTCTCTTAATTTCATAGAACCATTTTGTTTAAACTCAACCAAGAAGCTTTAGAAGTAATAAGAATTTGCATAATGATGTGCAGGTTATTTTATATAAAAAAAGACAGAACAGGAAAATTAACTAGTCCCTGATTATGTAAATATTTGCTCAAAAGTAATTTTGTCATAATTTCGTAATTTTTAGATGTCTTCTGCTTTGTAAAAATGTTTTCAATTAAAAATCTCAATGCACAATGTAAAAGTGACTAACTAAAAAGCTGATGAATTGCTGTAGTCACAGAACCATCACAACACCATGCCTGTTCAGAAGCAAGATGCTGCCACACTGCAAGGTATTGAAATACTGAAATACTGCTCTTTCACTGGTGCTGAAATGCTGGGGTTTTGCTGGTATTTCAGGATGGGTATCTGTGACTTCTTTTTGCTTAATATTAGACCAGACTCACTGAGTACTTAATTGGGGAGA